CCCTGTCCTCCACTGAAAATCCCAAAATCTCAGCATGACGCGAGCACTCCAAGCAACGACTGAGAGGCTCTAAAGCTGTGGGTCTTGTTGTGATTAGGAGGTAGGATTCAGGAAGAAGCTTTTTTTGAAATAAACTCCTCAGAAGGATTTGCACTGGCTCCTTCTTCCAAGGGTCAGTACAAAGCTGGGCTTCAGGCTGATCAAATGAAAATCTTAATTCATCAAACCCATCAATGATAAACAGGAGCTTCTCTGAATTATTCAGTATCTCTTGAATTGTGTTTTTAATTGCATGACTGTTGGGCAATTGTTTAGAAATTATTTCCACAATACTACTCTTCTCCGAGTCTGTATGGAGGTTCATCTCCCTGCAATGAATATAAAAAATGTAATTAAACATGTCCTGATAAAGGTGTTCGGAGGCCCAATCAAGCATAATTTTTCTTGCTGTCATGGTCTTGCCAATTCCTGCGGCTCCTTGCAACACAACCACTTGTGGAATTAGTCCATGTTTGTCAGGGTGAAATAGGTTTTCAATGGTGGCAGAAGAACTGGATCTCGTATTCATGATTTCAGCATGTTTCTTTCCCGAAGCCCTAATTTCATGCTTTCTTGCTTTTTCAGACCGATGATAATCTATGATGATTAGTTTTGAGTATCTCTCATTTAGATGCAAATATTCACCAAGACGAGAATTAGGATCCTTTATTATTTGAAATTTTATTTTAATATGCCTTTTGTAGCCTAAGAGAAGGACATAGTGCATAGGACATTAGAAGGCTTTAAAACACGGCCTGCACAAGCTATTCTATGAAGCATTTTGCAAAACACTCTATGGATCTGCTCCTTGAAGCTGCAAAGCAGTTTCAATGCTTGAAGTCTTGGCATGATTGCTCGGAAGCTAACTAGACAGTTCCAGTGGGATCACTGGCAAAATGAAGGCTGCTTTATTGAATGATTTGCACATGAGTACAAAAATACATTTTAGACAATAGAATCGAATGATCTTTCTTACAGCAAACTGCAATTTAAGCCTACTAAGAAATACATCTCAGAGAGATTTATTGAAACAGATTTACTCCTAGATAAGTTGTTATACCATTTCAGCCTTAAACATTTTAGACTATAAATTAGAATTGACTCAGAATATGATTTGGACCTGTAATTCAAACCTAGGGCTAAAATTGCTCCTCCAAATTCACTGCTGTGTTGGCACATGAATTTTCAGAATCCTTTGAAAAGTTTTAAGGGATGACTTTCCTTTATTGTGATACTGTTTTCACTTTCTTATGTTAGACACTGAAAAAACCATCCTGGAGTTTTCAGCAGTAGGGTTCTTCAGGTGACCAATACCTCTAACAAACTCTTGCACAGTTGCAGGGGGG